GTGAACAAATAATATAGTCAAAAGTATGTGATGCTAATTAGTTACTTGTATTATATAAAAGTAAAGAAAATTTACCTGCACTACTGTTTTGAGTAGGGGGAGAGTCGGCAGGCAATTCCTCAAATTGTACTTGGAGTGGTCGAGGTGAAATGGTATGTCCAATTGCAGGGGTAGAGCTAATACCTCCACTACTTGTGCTGCCATGTCGTGTGAAGGAAGAGCTTCTCCCACCCCGTCCTCTCTTTAGCCCTGACATATCCTGCAATAATGTACAAAATTTAGATTGTTTTTTATGTTAATAAAACTACTCTTTATGAAGATAGTATATATTAAAAAAATTACAAAATCTAACTTGTTAAGAATATATTAATAAAAACTACCATTTATGAGGATTGTAGTTTCATTCTGTTGAGTCCTCTGTGGTACTATCACTTGTATCATCATCTTCTATTTCACCTTCAATGTCACTTTCTTCTTCAGTATCACTATCATTACCATCAAGCACATCTTCTTCATCACTATCGTCATGAACTAGTGAATTAGATTCACTATCATCAATAAATCCAATCTCCATATTACTTCTTTGTGATGGTTCTCCTACTTGAATGAAAGTTTGGGGTTGTACATCATCTCCACACAAGTCAATAAAGATATCATGCTGTATAAGACTTGCATTTAAATCAACCACCAATTGTTGATAAGGCTCTTCATCAACCATTGCAATATTAACATCACTACCAACATTAACATTCTCAATCGGCATATTGAACAAGTCACGTGGATTCGTTTTGACAACAACAATCCAACCCGGGTCAACAATATCATCCACATAAAAAACTTGCTCTGCTTGAGATGCTAAAATAAATGGTTCATTAGTTTGTAATGAACATTGAGTGTTGATACTTGTGAACCCATACTTATCCACCTTATATCCTTCGCCATAGTTAGCGACATCCCACCAGTGACACTTAAACAAGTATAATTTTTTATTCTCTATGTAAGATAACTCATAAATATGCTCTAACACACCATAATATTCTTTATTAGCATCAGTGTCATCACCCTTGGCCATGACTCCATCATTTTGAGTTCTTTTTCCTATTGCCCGATCTTTTGCATGAAAACGAAATCCATTACCTATAAACATAGAGTAACGATTGACCACTCTCGATGGACCAATTGATAAACTTCTGAGTTCAGGACTTACAAAGCCTTGTGTGGACAATGCTATCACCTATTAAAGAAGAACCATTCCTTCAATATGCATTAATATTATTAATATAAACTTCAAAGCTCAAAGTCTAGAACTTACTCGTGAACGGAACCAATCAGGAAACTCTTTATATTGCTTTTGCTCACTCATTAATCCCTGAGCTTCAAGTTCTCTCCTGTGTTCCCTACATGTTTTTACACAAGTGAGAAAAATATAAATTATAACAAATTCATTCTAGTTAAATTAAGTTGACGTACTCTATGAATGGCCAAGTTTCTTCACAATTTTGGAGCACATACATTCTTGCCTGACAATACTCTTCATAAGCAAGAGAGACTGACTCAAAATGTCCTCTAGCTTCACCACTTTTCTTGAACACCGAAAGCTCATTACTGATATTATTATCACTGATGTCATCATTCCGATGCTGCACATTAAATTTAGTGGGAATGTCTTTCAAGTATCGTGAGCAAAAAGTTAGACTTTCATCTGCCAAATATCCTTCTGCAATTGATCCTTCAGGTTGGGCCTTATTGCCAACATATGACTTTAGAGTTCGCAAATACCTACAACAAAAAGTCAAGCCTTATTGAATGGTTTTAAATGATAGATTATAAATATAATTGTAAAGTAACCTTGTTAAAGCGAATTACCTTTCTATGGGGTACATCCAACGATACTGAACTGGCCCACCAACTTTTGCCTCTCCCGCCAAGTGTATAGGCAAGTGAACCATTACGTCAAAAAAGGCAGGTGGGAATATGGTCTCTAACTTGCACAGAGTTATTTCTATTTGACTTTGAAGTTTGTCAAGTTCTTCACATGTTAAACACTTTGAACAAAGATTTTTAAAAAATCTTCCCAATTGTATTATTGGTTCACATACTTGGGGAGGCAGTAACCCACGTATTGCAATTGGAAATATTTCCTGCAATAGCACATGGTGATCATGACACTTCAAACCAAATATTTTTCGCTCGTGAATATTGACACACCTTGAGATATTAGATGCAAAAGCATCAGGTACTTTTAAGTTAGCCAAGAATTTGCAAAGGGATTGCTTCTTTTCAGAAGATAATGTGTAAGGAGCATGAGGCTTATAAACATCATTACCATTCTTAATCGGGTGCAAATGACTCCTAATGCCCAAATCCACCAAATCATACCTACTTTTTAATGTGTCCTTTGTCTTTCCAAGTAAATCCATCACTGTCGATACAATATTATCAGAAACATTTCTTTCTATATGCATCACATCAAGATTATGTCGTATCAACAAATTTTTCCAATAAGGCAATTGGAAAAAAATGCTTCTTTTCCTCCAATTATAAGCCTTACTATTTGTAGGGCGTTTTCGTTTCTGGCCTTTTCCAAATGATATATCACCCAATTGTTCTAATTGCATAAGTGCATCATCTCCAGTTAATGGAATTGGTGGAGCTCTGAGTTCTTCTTTTCCATCAAATGATTTTGCATCTTTGCGCCATGGGTGATTTTGTGGAAGAAAACGCCTATGACCCATATAAGATAACTTGCTCCTTAATGAAATGCAATGCGTGTCTTTGTGACAACAAGGGCATGCAAACTTGCCTTTAGTTGACCATCCTGAAAGATTTCCATATGCGGGGAAATCATTTATCGTCCACAACACTGCTGCATACATCATAAAATTTGATTGAGAAAATGCATCATATGTTTGCACCCCTACTTCCCACAATTGTTTCAGCTCCTCAATCATTGGTTGTAAGTAAACATCTATTTCATTACCTGGACACTTTGGACCAGGAATAAGAAGTGTCATCATAAAATATGGGCTTTTCATGCAAAGCCATGGTGGCAAATTATATGGTACCAAAACTACAGGCCAAATGCTATGATTGGCACTCATATTCCCAAAAGGTTGAAATCCATCACTTGCCAAACCCAATCTAACACTTCTTGGATCAGTAGAAAAACTAGGATATTGTTGGTCAAAGTGTTGCCAAGCAAGAGAGTCAGCTGGATGTCTCAATACACCATCATTTGTGTGCTTCTCCTTATGCCACCTCATTTCTTTAGCAGTGTCTCTTGCCATATAAAGCCTTTGTAACCTAGGTATTATCGGAAAATGCCTTAAGACTTTCTGGGCAATTTTTTTTCCTCTTTGCCTGTTCAACTTCCATCTAGACATCTTGCACTTAGGACATGATTCTTCTTTTGCATGTTCCCCCCAGTATAATATGCAATCATTTCCACAAGCATCAATTTTATTGTAATCTAAACCCAAATCACGAATTATCTTCTTAGCTTCATAAAATGAATTTGGCACTAAAGCCCCTTCTGGAAGAACATCTTTCAATAAGGCCAACAATGCATCCATAGATTTATTGCTCCAATGGTTAAGACACTTTAATTGAAGCAATTTTACAATAAAAGACAATTTTGACATTTTCTCACAACCTGGATAAAGTTCTGTCTCTGCATCCTTTAATAAGTCGTAGAACCTTTTGGCATGCACATTAGGCTCTTCATTCTCATTTAATTCATTGTTCATATCATTCATAGAAGGAACATTATATGCATCACATACCATCCTTGTAAGGTTCTCCCCATAAGTATCATGTTCTGCTGCTGTACTTGAAGTCTCACAATCACTTTGACATCTAATAATTTCCCCATGCAAGTCCCACACCTTATAACTATCCCAAAAACCCTTACTCAATAAGTCAACCCTGACATCTCTTCTCGCTTTGAATATGACATTCATACATTTTTTACAAGGACATCGTATTTTGCTTGTCACTCCATTCTGAGTAAAAGCCCATTCGAGAAAACCATCTACTCCTTTAATATATCTTAGGTTGCCTCTGTCTTTAATATCTAACCAACTTTTATCCATTTCTATTTCACAAAAGTTGAAGATTAATGTAAGAAAAGGAAAAACAATAAATATTAAAGTGCAAGAAATAAATAGAAATGAATAAGGTTGAGTTGACCAAGAAAAGAAAATTATATATGATATATATATGTATTTTACTTCTAAAAAGCTGATTCATTTCAACGCAGTATATAAGCCAAACTAACAAAGCATCACAGAGTCAACGCAAACGCAAGGTGAAGATGATAAACTGTTAACTTACAAGTGACAAGAGCTTTACTACTCGCCCTAGCTAGTAATCCTTTTTGCTTGCACTACCGTATATGCCTACAATAATAAGGACCAGACATTATAATGGGAAGGAAACCAAAGGTCCCAAGAAACCATTTCAAGAAAGCAATTACAATAATTAAACCAACATTATAAATTCAAGTATATATTTTTATTTGATCTAATGAGTGACTTGGTAGACATGGCAACTTTAGAGCACGATCTCAGAAAAGCTAGTTAGAAAACATGGGGGGAACAGGGGATGATAAGACGGATGCATCATACAAGGAAGAAGATGTGGGGGGATAAAAGCTGAACATCATTATTAGAACTGAGATCCAAAGCCCTTGTAATTATGGTTCCCCTGTTTTCACTTAACTTTTCCAAAAGATAATGCGTGTCATTGCCACTTACCAGCACCTGTATTATGTACAACAGATTGCCGCTACAATGAACTATAAGACAACAATTCTCTGTCTCCTAACCCTATCACTTCCGGAAAGAAATCAGTCTTTGATATCCAGATCCCATAAATAAACAATACCCAAATTAACACCAGTTCAAATATAATAAAGAAATTTAGAAACATTATCAATAAATATTAAACAGCTACTTAGGCGCCTCCCTTGCAACGAGCTTACTGCTTTCACTGTTTTTTTAATTCTTTTACGCAGCCCCCTGTCCTTTGTATTGTCGTAGAGTTATGTCAGGGCATTGAAATCCCAAACCTACTGAACAGAAACAGGAGTAAAATGGGGGGAGAAATTTCAGTTACTTAATAACATGATTATCAGAATGCCTGTCAATTTTCATGAAGTTCCAAGCATAATTATACAACTTGGAAGGTGGGACCATGTAATCCAACCAACAACTTCTAAACAGAAACTTAATAAACGAATTAAATAAGCCTAACGCTTGTTTTGACTTGTTTTTGTGCTAGATGCTCAATGATGATGAATCACACACGAAACCTTCATCTATATACAAAAGGCGCAAAGGAATGGATCTTACAAAATAAAGGAATTAGTTCCTGGCTAGCTACCTATAATTCCGTGGGAAAAAAAAAAAATTCATACAAAGCCAACAGTTATGGCCTAGCCTCAAAATATTACGTTAGAATTCAGAGTCGTTTAGTCTCAAGCATTGTGTTGGTTGAGTTATAACTTCTCAAGATGCACTGTAATTCCATTGGAATGCAAAAGGGAAAGTACAAGTCCTTACCAATTTCTAACATGCTATCGGTTTCTGACATGGCTGTTATGAAACTTTCAATAATTCATTGGAATGCAAAATGATAGGTGTCATGAACATTAATTTGTTAAATAATATGATGTGAATATAATTCATCTCGGAAAAAAAAATCTGTTAAATAATATTTTTAATACTTAATATAAAAACTAGTTAGAGATTAAATTTAATCCTGAATGTATAATTCATTCTTTTAAATATCCCTATTAATAACACATCAAGAGATTTCCATTCACAGATAGTCAGAAATAAAAACAAAATTTTAAAAAAATCAACTCATATTTATTGAGTTGCTAATAACATACAAAATCCAGTCCCCCACTCAAATTACTTAATAAGAGGGACGTAGGCTTATCTATTCAATATGTTTTTTGGCAGAATCAGCCTGTAATACATGCTAACTTGTCATCATGATGGCTCAATAGATAATACACTGATGTTTACAGACCAAGTTTCACCAAGAATTTTCTCATCTTTGACGAGAACGTCCAAAATCAAATACTCCAACCTTATTTTATTTGAATTTATTATGATCAGAGTTACAAATCGTGTTGCTCAAGTATTCACATACAAATTCAATAAATAAGAACGGGTTTTGAAACAACCATGACAGCATATTCAAAGACGAAACTACAGAAGTATCAGCTACATCAGCTATACACAACCATGAACTTATACCAAACAAGATAATAAACACGAACTGGGTTGTACTAATCGGTGAGAGGCTCGACCTTACCTGGATCTGTACTAACGGTGACGAAGCTGGAGAGTAGCGGCGATCCGGCAACTGGCGAGCAAATAGCTGCGGCAGCAAGCACAAATTGAAGGACTAGGAGGCAAGCTTGGTTGCAACTGCTACGGAATGGGGTCGCCGGCGCTGCGCAAATCACGAAAGGGGATGGGGGAGAAGCAGGTCTGAGGTCCCTCTTCGCCGTCTTCGCTAATCGGTGAGGTCCCTCTTCGCCGTCTGCCGCTAGCGCTAGGTTTGGAGGGAGAGGGGATTTGGGGATGAACTTTCAGAAGTGCGCGGCGCTGGTCTGATCTGGTGAGAGTGGGGATTTGGGGATGAACTTTCAGAAGTGCGCGGCGCTGGTCTGATCTGGTGAGAGTGAGGGAAAAGTTAACTTTCAGAAGATTAGAATTGTTTTGGGTTTCAAAATAAGAAACTTTACATACAAAAACAATGCGCCAGCCTTGCCAATAACACACGTGGGTTCAGTGGTAGGGGAGTGTTAACTATTATAATTATCAGATCCCCTGTTCGAACCAGGTAACATTAAATTTTTTTTTAACCTTTTTGAGCCAAAATTAATGTGTAAAAATTGGACATTTTCCAGATTCGAACGCAGGACCTCTACACTAAAATGAACAAGCGTGGTCAGCCAGGCTAATGAATTTAATTGAAACCATTGAGCAATAGAAAATATATATAATATGCAACTCTATATGTTTTACAAAATTTAATTAATCACATTTTAAATTAAAAAATATAAATAGTAATAATATTTAATTAACTATATACATGATTTTATTATCTATATCTCTCACACATTTTTAATTAATTATATTATCTCCTTTAATGATTTTATTTCTCAATCCTCTCATACATATGTTCATCATCAAATATTATTATGTCAATTAAGTATACTCACACTAATTTAATTATAATAATCTCTCACATATGTTTAATTATGTTATCTCTTTCAATTATAATATCCTTCTCTCTCTCACACATACAGACTATCTCTCTTCCAATTACATCTACCTCTCACTCTATATTTCATTACTTATCTCATCAAACTTGCATACTTTTTCACGCATGCCTCGATCTCATTTCTCTCCCATGCATAATGTTTTTCTATTTCATCTCTCAAACATTTGGATATGGGATATGTGTGTTAAACACACACTCCAAACTTTCTTCCTCTTCCTTTCTCTCTCAAACACCATATTATCTTTCTTTTAGTCTCTCTCTAACACAAAAATACATAAAAAAACATTAATTATCAAAGTTACTTAATTACGCAAATAAAAGATTATAATATAAAATTTTTACAAAAAAAAAACATTAAAAAAATGTGAAAAAACTTTCAGCGGCGACAAATGTCGCCGCTGAAAGTGAGCTTCAGCGGCGACACTTGGTGTCGCCGCTGAAATAAGATTTAGCGGCGACAAAAGGTCGCCGCTGAAAGATATATTCAGCGGCGACTCTTTCTGTCGCCGCTGAAACAGGATTCAGCGGCGACCTTATGTCGCCGCTGAAAGAGACATTCAGCGGCGACAATTTATGTCGCCGCTGAAAGAGGATTCAGCGGCGACAGTTAGTCGCCGCTGAATCCTCTTTCAGCGGCGACGAAGGGAGTCGCCGCTGAAAGTGTACACTTTCAGCGGCGACTTGAATTGTCGCCGCCGTAGTGCACACTTTCGGCGGCGACAAAATTTGTCGCCGCTGAAAGTTGAAGTTACAGCGGCGACAATAATATGTCGCCGCCATAACTCATACTTTTGGCGGCGACATACTTGTCGCCGCAGAAAGGCCGACTTTCAGCGGCGACAATAATTGTCGCCGCTGAAAGTCATATTTTCAGCGGCGACTCCCTTTGTCGCCGCTGAAAGTGGTCGCTGAAAGTCCAGATTTTTGTAGTGATTCTTAGGTCTCATACCCCAATAAGTTGAAGTGGCCATTGAAGAAGCAACAATGAGAAGCAAGAAGATGATCAGTTTTATCAAATTATGAGTTGGTGTCACTCCTCTCACATAGTATCTTCTCACAAGAAGTGCCACAGCCATCATCATGAAGATAAACAGTGTGCTTATTGACAACAAGCTTGCCAATACATCTAAGCTTGAGAAAAATGCAATGCTGGCAGCTGAAATTATATATAAAAAAGCCAGCAATTATCACAATTGTCATTGGTATATAGGGATAGAATTTTGAGATTAAACTTTTAATCTTGACCTATGCCTGTTTGTATGAAATTAGAGACAACCTTAGTTTGTGGGAAAGAAATGAATTACAGTTTACCCAAATAGAGTTGGTTCAGTGACAATGGCCTGAGTTTCCATATGGACTTGGGAAAAATATCTTTGGATAGGAATTCACTTAATCATTAATCAACCTTAATTCTTCGGATTAGTTAAGGTGGCAAGTAGTCATAAATGTGTGAAAGTTAACATATTAGTATAGTTGATTACCTGAGATGGTGATGAGAAGGGTAGCATTTATAGGGGTTCCAGTCTTGGGGTGGACGAGAGCAAACCATGGTGGAATCATATGGGCACGTGCGATATGCATGATATATCGTCCTTGTCCTAGTGCTCCCACCAAAATCACAGTGGTCATACCCTTTAAAGCTCCAAAAGCCACCACATACTTTGCCCATTTCAGTCCCACACTTCCAAAAGCCACAGAAAACGCTGCGTTTCGGTCTATCTCAGTGTACTTCTGCATCATACTCAATGAAAGTGCCATTAAACAATAAATCACAGTGATCAAAGACATTGATCCAAGTAACCCTATTGGTATATCCCTTGAAGGTTTCTTAGTCTCTTCAGCCATGGTTGCAACATTCTCAAACCCAGTATATCCAAAATAAACCACAGCCGCTGCTTTGAAAACCCCTTCAATCCCATAAGGCAAGAAACTAGGTGACGACAGGTTTGAGGTATTGGCATGGGAAAAGCCTAGGACTATAACAAAGACGATGACGAAAGTGTTGATTCCTGATGCTATCCAGTTGAGGTACGAGGTTTTTCTGGTGCTGATCATGGCGATTGTGGATAAAATGGCTAACACCACGACGGCTATGGGGTCTAGTAAGTTGTAGCCCGCTTTGAGATTTGTTTTGATGCGAAGTGAATCAGAGGGACGATTCAAAAGTGTAGCGAAATAGGAGGTCCACCCTCTTGCTACTGCCGCACTTCCTATTATGCTTTCAAGAAGAATGTTTCCTGCTGCTATGTATGCAACAAAATCTCCCAGTTCTACTCTCAGATATGCAAATGATCCGCCTGCAACAAGAACTAGGATTTGAGTGATTTATTGATTTATTTATTTATTTGAGGATTAACTTAATATAGGAAAAATTGATCGGATTGTTTTGATTTGTTGTTAATTTAGTCCTAATTGTTGACTTAATATAACTTATACCTATAATTTTGACCTCATCAAGTAGTTTTAACTTTAACCATTTAAAATATAGTTTCGAAAATAAAATTGTATATTTCATGAAACTTAAATTTTAAATGGTTAAAATAATATGAAAGTGAGTTAAAATTTAGAAAGACTTAATTCCAGGTGAGTTAAAATAATAAGAAATGAGTTAGACTGACTCAGAAAGACAGTTATGATTGAATTAAAACTATAAGGATAAAATATTAATTTTTCCATTTAAAAAAAAAAAAAAAACCTTTCACCGTTGGAAGAAGAAGCCACCTGCAACTGGGATTTCTACGGCGAACTCTGTGTAGCAGAAAACAGAGAGCATGGCGGAGATGCCAGAGGCGACGTAGGACAAGACAATGGCTGGTCCGGCGTCGTCGTGAGCTTCTTGACCGGTGAGGACGAAGATTCCGGCTCCGATCGCGGAGCCGAGGCCGAACCAGATGAGGTCCCACCAGTTGAGGCAGCGTTTCATGTCGTTCTCGCTTTCCTTTCTGATCTCATCGGTCTCGGTGACGTCGTCGGATCTGCTCGTCAGACGATCCTTGAACCTCAAAAACGTCTGAGATAGTGCCGTTTGGTAGGTTGTCCAACTCTGGAAGGATTCTTCAGGTAAGAAATCTTGCTTGCTCCATCTCCTCCAGTAGCTTCTCTGCTGCGAAGGAGGTTCTTCCATGGAAGCTACTACGCAAGTACTTCGTGATAACTCTGTGAAGATGATGAGTGGATTAGAATGGAGATAAGAAGTGGAAAGTGAGTAAAACTCTCTTGTTAATATCATGTACGTATTTACTAAAAAGTATAATATCTTCCTTTCTCATAATGAAAATAATACTCCTCCGATCCTTAATATAAGACCCGTTTAACTAATTTGATTAGATTAAGGAAGTTAGGTAAGTTAGTTAATTATAAGAAAAATGACACATTTTTCCTAAAATATCATAATTATCTTTTTTAATACCCCTCTCCCTTTTCTATTTGATTATGGTTGAGGGAGTATCTATAGGGGTAATTTAGAGAAAATTGATAAATATGAGAAATGGCTCTTATATTTAGGACCAAAACCAACTCAGGAATTGGGTCCTATATTAAGGACCGGAGGAGTATTAGATATTCACTTTCACCTAATAATTCTGTAATAGTAGTATTTTGATTTAATTAAATCATATTCTTAATTCGTAATTCTTCCGGGTATTAGCATTTTTATGCTAAATTGCTAATTCCTTTATATATTATTTTTATACCTCCTACACTTAATATAATAGCGAGATTGACTTTCAATTTGATCCTAAATATAATATCTCAATTCACTTTGTTTCTCATATTTTTTTTTAAGATAGTCATTGTAATAGTTGCACATATTAAATATTTCATCAAATGACATTTGCGGTATTCTAGGAACGATAACACATATTTTTTACAATATTAATTTTCTTAACCTATTCAAATTAGTTAATTAATTTTTATATTAAAGAGTGGAAGTAGTAGTTGTTTAGTGAATGATTTATTTGTTTTCTTTTCTTCTATCTGTTTTATGTAAAATGTCTGTTTGCTATTAATAAGGTTGGGCCTGAAAAGGTTAGTTTAATTAAATCATATTTGTTTGCTAATTATTAGCTTAATTACTAACTATACCCTTAATATATAGTATACAACTAGAATCGATTAGGTTATGGTTAAAGAATAATATATCCATCATAATTCCATTTAATACTAGGTGAAATGACGATGAAATACCTTGTGAAAATGAAAAAGACAAAAAAAGAACCCAAATAAGTAAAATACCCAAATGGTCATTAGGTATGATTTTAGGATTTTCATGTTTTGTTAAAGTGACTGAAATGCCCATGAAGTGAGAGAAAAAGCCGCCGAATATGAAAACACTTAGAAGAGAGCAAAACATTGAAGCCACATGTGAAGGATGAAAACTGAAAAGAGAAAGCTTGAAGCAACATGTTTAATGCTAGAAAGAGAAAAATGTGAGTCATTTATCTTTCGAATGAAAGCAACCTCAAAGATTCCTCACGTCTTGAATTGAGATCAAGCAGGTCACCTGTTTTAATGAAAACAGTTTGCTTTCATTAAAACAACCCACCACAATAACTGAAAAACGACATATGTGATAGTTGTAAATATTAGATAGATTAAGCATATAATACTGGTGCACAAAAATGTATTGTCTAACTATTCTTATGATATTTAACTTATGGTTGTATATGGAATTTGTTTACAAATACATATTTAATCATGGTTATTGTGTAGTTATTTGCAATCATTTTTCATCCATATGCACACAGGTTTAATTTACTAAACATGTATTGAGATTCACAACTTGCGAAAAAAAATTTGTTTAAAATTATTTGTAATTTGTTTACAAACTTAGGAGATTTATAATTTGTTTATTTGGAACTGTTTTTAGTCTATTTGCTCATAATTTTACTAAACTTGTAACGTGAATAACAATTTGCGAAATGAAAGTACCAGTTCTCTTTTGCAACTTGTTATTAATCCATTTGCTCAAAATTTTACTAAACATGTAATAGGATTCACAACTTGCATAGTAAAATTTGCCACTTGCTTAATGGGATTTGCAACCTATTTTCAGAAAATTTGTAATTTGTTTATTTGGAACTATTTTAATCCATTCGCTCATAATTTTACTAAACATATAATGCGAATAACAACATGCTAAATAAAAGTGACAATTCTCATAATGAGTTTTGCAACTTGTTCTTAATCTATTGACACACAAATTTTACTAAGTATGTAATGGGATTCATAACTTACGTAGTGAAATTTACTATTTGATTAATGGGATTTGTAACCTGTTTTTAGGGGATTTGCAACTTATTTGCTTGGAACCATTGTTAATCCATTTACTCACAATTTTACTGAACATGTAATGTGAATAGCAACTTGCAAAGTGAAAGTGCTAGTTCTTGATTGGAATGAGTTTTGCAAATTGTTCTTAATCCATTTGCATACAAATTTTATTGAACATATTAATGGGATTAACAACTTGTGTGGTAAAATTTATAACTTGTTTAATGGGATTTGCACCTTGTTTATTTGAAATCATTCTCAATCTATTCTTTAAACGTACAATTTTATTAAATATGTAACGTGAACAATGACTTTTGAAATGAAAGTGACCATTTTCATAACAAGTTTTGTAACATATTCTTAATCTATTTGCATATAGTTTTTCAAAACATATAATAGGATTCACAACCTGTAACAAACAACCATAAATCAAAATTTTAATTCTCCAACAATCAATTTTCATCAACATACATGACATTGAACACATACGTTCTTCTTCCATTGACAACTTCAGCATAGGATTTCACAACTAGACTATTGATTTTAACAACACTAACCACTTTATGCTTCTTATTTGCATGTAATCCTCATGGTCACATAATCGCTTGCCACCACTTTTTCATTTTTGATAAGTCAATCTTTCATCCTCATCAAATACTCAATTTAAACCCTCCTCACCAACAAATCTATTCCTATCTGACGATGAAGAAACTACAAAAATAAAGAACTCAGACCCATCGCTAACTTCTACTCACTTACGTATTGCAAACCCACTTAATCACAAGCAAAGCCTATCCAAATGTACAACGTCTGCAAAACGATAATGGTTGGAGGAGCAAGATAATAGTATTTCGAAAGATAAATGACTCACATTTTTCTCCTTCCAGCCTTAAATGTGTTGCTTCAAGCTTCCTCTTTTCAACTTTCATCTTTCACATATTGTTTTAATGTCTTGTTCTGTTATGAATGTTTTTACACTTAGTTGTTTTTTCTCTCACTTAATGGACATTTTAGTCACTTTAGCAAAACATGAAAATCTCATATTCATACCTAATGACTATTTGGGCATTTTATTTATTTGAATTTTTTTTTGTCTTTTTGATTTTCACAAGGCATTTTACAGTCATTTTTTTCACAATATAAATATATTCATATTTTGTATTTTTGAAGAATATAAATACAAATTGGATCGTAGGAGTTCTTCACTTCCCAATTGACAGCGCCACCTAGCTTTGATTTTCTCAGGTCAAGCTTCGCGGGGGCTCAGCAAACCATTTTCTCAAGCAAGTCCTCTTTGATCGATGCCCAAATGCCCAATCCCTCTCTCTAATCTTCTCAGAAACTCAGTGCTGAGGGGTCTCAGCGTGTGTGTCCATTCTCCTATTCATTCGCTTCCGAGTTGCTCCTCACCTCCTCATAATGACGGAGAAGATGAAATTGAGCCTTTGCTTCCGGGGGAAATCTTCAAATCAGGCACCCAATCGGGTTCTTACAGATTGGGCGACTCGACTTTCTATTCACTCATTGAAAACTACGCGATTTCCTGCGATTTTAGGTCACTGGACAGGGTCTTGAGTCAAATGAAGCGCGAAAGGAGAGTTTTTGTCGAAAGGAATTTCATTGTAATGTTCAAAGCTTATGGGAAAGCGCATTTACCTGAAGAGGCGATGGGGCTGTTTCATAGGATGGAGAATGAATTTCGATGTAGGCAAACTGTAAAATCTTTCAATTGTGTCCTTAATGTCATTATTCAAGAGGGTATGTTTACTCGTGCCTTGGATTTTTATTCTGATGTAATTGCTACCAAGAGTCTGAATATACATCCAAATGTACTCACTTTCAACTTAGTTATCAAGGCCCTGTGTAAGTTGGGTTCAGTTGATAAGGCTATTGAAATGTTCAGAGAAATGCCACTCAAGAACTGTGCTCCCGATACATATACATACTGTACACTAATGGATGGGTTGTGCAAGGAGAGTAGAATTGATGATGCCATTTCTTTATTGGATGAGATGCAAATTGAAGGTTGTTTCCCAAACCCCATCACATTCAATGTGTTGATTAATGCTTTGTGCAAGAAGGGTGACTTAGTACGTGCAGCCAAGCTTGTTGATAACATGTGTCTTAAAGGCTGTGTCCCAAATGAGGCCACGTATAATGTCCTTGTTCATGGATTGTGTCTCAAAGGTAAGTTGAACAAGGCAGTTAGTCTAATGGGTCAAATGGTATCAAATAAATGTGTGCCTAATGATATTACTTATGGAACACTCATTAACGGGTTTGTTAAGCAAGGCAGATCTGTTGATGGAGTTCATGTATTATCCTCAATGCAAGAAAGAGGTCATGTAGGGAATGAGCATATTTACTCATCCCTTATTAGTGGGCTGTTCAAGGAGGGAAAATCCGAGCTTGCTATGCAACTGTGGAGAGAAATGGAAGGAAAAGGATGTCAACCAAATGCTGTTGTGTTTAGTGCTTTAATAGATGGTCTTTGCCGAGAGGGGAAGCCAGATGATGCAAGGGAAGTTTTATATGAGATGAAGAGTAAAGGATATGCACCAAATTCTTTTACTTATAGCTCCCTAATGAAGGGTTATTTTGAAAAAGGTGAAAGTCATAAAGCTATTCTTGTGTGGAAAGAGATGGAAGACAATAATTGTAATCATAACAAGGTTTGTTATAGCATACTAGTTGATGGCTTGTGCAAGCAGGGGAAGCTCATGGAGGCCTTAATGGTGTGGAAGCAGGCATTGAGTAGAGGAATTAAATTAGATGTTGTGGCTTACAGCTCAATGATTCATGGTTTTTGCAAAGCTCACTTAGTAGAACAAGGCATGAAACTTTTCCAACAGATGCTTTGTCTGGAATCTGAATCACAACCCGATGTGATTACATATAACATTCTTTTGGATGCTTTGTGCATGCAGAACAGCATCTCCCGTGCTATAGGTCTTTTAAATATTATGCTAGATCGGGGTTGTGATCCTGACTTAATTACATGCAATATTTTCTTGAGAACTCTGAGAGAGAAAGTGAATCCGCCTCAAGATGGGAGAGAGTTTCTCGATGAGCTTGTAGTCCGGTTAGTTAGGCGACATAGAATAATAGGTGCTTCCAAAATTATAGAATTGATGCTGCGTAAGTATTTGCTTCCAAAAGGTTCTACTTGGGCCATAATTGTTCAAGAGCTCTGCAAACCCAAGAACAATCAAAAAGCTATTAATGAATGTTGGAGCAGGCTGTATTGCTGATTTTTTTAGAGCCTTTGTTTTCAACTCTTTTAAAGCTCAGAGATTACAAATACAGTAATCTGTCAAGGTCATCACTCTGTAGGTACTCAAACTTTTCAAAGGAAGATGCACAGCAAAGGTAGAGTTTTCATTGTGCTTTATTCATAGATCTCATCTTGTTTATTTGGAGATATCAGTGTGAACCTAGAAGGCTGCAAATGTCGAGAATTGTATCACTTGGACCATTTCAGCTGCCTGACTTTGTAAACTGCAGTTGTCCCCAACCAAAAAAAAAAAAAAAAAAACATCTTGTATTAGTCAATTCAAACCATAAATAATGTAGAAAAGATTTCAAAGGAAATTGAAAAATCCTAATTTTAAATCAATATTTTAAAAAAAATGAAAGTTCTCAACTATTTTAATTAAAGTTCTGCAAGAATATTAAGAATAGTATTATTCTACTTTCCAACACTATCTTATATTTAGCAGTTAGGCCTCTATTTTGATCCGTACTCGTGTTTTTTGAGTGCTATTAATCCTTTAGATAATTGTAAAAATTTAGATTTTATTAAATATGCATTTGGATAAGTGGATCTGTCTAGAAAAGAAAGTGTTCCTTGGAAATTTTTAGTTGACTTCCTGACTTGTTGACAACGATTAGAGATATGAATAAAACCAGGCTAAGGATTCATCTAACAGATTAAGCTTAGGTTATATTGATCCATGATAGCAATGGTCTTTACACCACAATATCATGTTAATTTCTCAATAGTTGTCCATGACAATTTGGTTTGGGATGGTTATTCACTAATTGTGTACATTTTTTGTCAGTACTCTCCTAAACATTCACGCTATGTTGCGTATGCTGACTGGTAACATTCAATGAAGAAGTTAAATCGGAAGAGAATAGAGGTAAAATTTGAGATACTGTAGGTTCTTTGCTAGGAAATTTTTTTTCCCCTTTTAATGATACGCCTTTGTGATTCAGTATTTGTGCTCTTTCTGACACTTAAGCCCTAAGGCTCGTGAGAAGTTTTTTGAGAAGTTTTTTGAGAAGTTTTTATTTCATAAATACTCCCCTGGTCCTATTTATAGGGCAGAGAGAGAAGATATTTTTTGGTCCTATTTATAGGGCACTAAGAGAAATTTTTTATATGGATGTACAATTTTATCCCTCATTTATTATTATGTTGATTTTGTTTACATGAGTATAATGTATATTAAATAGGAATAAAATTGGAAAGTTATTAAATTTTAAATAAGAGTTAATGAAGTTTAAAATTTTTCTTAGTCTGTGTAAAACATGTTGGTAGTGTCTTATAAATAGGACCAGAGGAGTACTTCCTAATCTCTATTTTTGGGAAAGCTTGACTTTGTTTAAAATGTAGCTTCAGAAGCTAGAGCTGTGGATCCTCTTTGTGCTTGTGAACATAGTAGCATATGTCTGATGAATTTCCATTCTTACTGCTACTGAAGTCATTAAAGTTGAGAAGTCACATCTGTCTAGATGGTTAATTTTCAATTATTGTATGACATTTCTTTCTTTTTGGCCTGAATGGATGCAATAAACAAAATCCTCAAAGAATTAATACCTGTCAATGTGTGAGACTATGCTATCGATTTATTTGTGCTGTTCCACACGTTAAAATTATTAGCTGTTACTTCAGACAAGAATGTTATGGTTTGATGTTATGGAATTTTAGATCTGGTAAAGGAGATTAGATACTGGATGAAGCTACATCCATGTTTGGGGTGGTTTTGTAGTTTTCAAGTTCTGAGAACTTCTGGAATAAAAGCCAAGATGAGAACGTTTTCTTTCCGAGCAGTCAAGTTTCGCTTTCATTGTATTGTTAATTGCTCTTATTTTTTGTTTTCTACTTATCGTCTGTCACTATGCTTCCCTGGCCAATTTGTCACTATTATGTGATTTGTGCTAGCAAATTTTGCTATTAATATGCACCTATAGGTTGACTCTCACCTTGGACAGAGCTTGAAAAGAATAGCCTTTTGTCAGATAAACTTGTGCACATTTGGCGCTTGCAAAGGCTAGTACCTGATGGCGATTGTTCGGAAATAATGAATGGACTCTCAGGTATTAAATAATAAATATGATGAGAATGAATTATGGAGCACGCACTTTGGTTAAAGAGAGAGGGAAAAAAGAAAAAGAAAAAGAAAAAGAAAAGAACCATGGAGCACGCACAACTGATATTCCTCATTTCTGGTTTATCTGTGATCCTGATATGTTTTCTAGCTCTATAATTTTCTGTACGCGTGTGTCAGATTTGGTTAATGTATTTCCCTTGCTTGAAGATTCCTTCTCTGGTAGTCTGATCTGCAATTATTCAAGAGCCCAGAATCACTTGACCTTAATCTTAATGTACCTTTAGAAAGAGGTAGATCAGAGTGTAAGACAATCCTTAGACCAGATGACAACAGCTAGGGAGGGTGAGGCATTTACTCATGAAGCTTCAAATCAACTCTCCTTTTCATCATGGATTTCAAATTGGACAATACCTAGGTATATTTAGGTCTTTAATATCATGTTTATGTTGATATCATGACATCTGAATAAATTGTCTTGAAGTAGGCAACGGAGTACAAAGTTAATATTGTTGAGCTTTTATTGGAAAAGTTGAATATTTGAAATCATGTTTAAAACCACTTATAAGCACATTTTATGTAAAACGAGATAAAATTCTTCTCTCATACTTACCTCATATTCTGTAAAGCACGATTGAAAAACTGCATATAAGCCATTCCAAATGAGTCGAAGGCTTTTAAGCTGGACTTTAGTTTTGTACTTTCAAATAACATGTGCTGATTCTGCAGGTCAATTTCAAGAGGATTATGGTTCTAGAAGGATTATTCGATTGGAGATGGAAGATCCATTGACGTTGGGGGTCCTATTCGCGTTTGTCATGTCTCTTCAACTGAAACAGCTGTTAGGTTCATGCAAGACTCGTTCATCCTGTAACAAAGGGGGTACTTGAGAAGAGTACCATAGTTGGAAAATCGGTTCATCCTGTAACAGAGCCAAATCAGTTCATCCCGTACTTGCTATTGACCTTGTGAGATTCAGATATACCTACTGGAAGGCTATTATATGTGATCTAATAGTGAGAGGTGTAGATAAGTTGTACAGTTTAATTTCTGTTTTCTCACGTACCAAACAGAATATGCTTATTGTGTAGGCTTGACGAATACTACCTCCAAATGTTTAATCTTTAATATAAGAGCTAGTTGGATATTTAATTTGGTATTGAATATAAGATCTTAGTTCTTCTTGTCTCTAATATTTATCCATTTTACCCTTGAGGGTAATTCAAATGTACATGATTAATACAAATATTTAAGAAAGATGACATTTATTTATTACAAATAATAAACTTAACTAATTTTTTTAATATTTATAAATTAGTTACTTAGTTTTTATATTAAAGACTGAAAGTATCATATCAGATTATGATCTACATAGCAAATTGCTTGTTACATTATTGAACTTCATTAATCTGAGAGCAAAGAAACTGAAGACTGATATCGCGTTTGGATTGTGCCCATGTGATTGTGAAGAAATGTGAAAAATTTAGATGTAATTCATGTCAAAAAGAATCAACAAATGCAATGTGATTCATTAATTCTCACAAAATTCTGAAAAAAATTGAGAGGCTCTGTGTAAGAATTAAATTCCTTCAGTTGAAATTTTTTTAATAGTTTGAAAAATTTTAGAAATGGGAACTTAAAATTTACGTTTAAAAATTGCTTAAAACGAAAACTCCCTTCTAAATTCTTTTGTTCATCAATGGTTTATCTTTTCAAATAAAGATAAATTTCTCTTAAAACATTACCAGCCACAAGCCCCTATCATGATTGATCCATTAAGAAACTCAAACTTCTAGGAATTATGAATCATTGTCATTATTTAGATAAAAGATACATAATCTTCAGACCCAAAAAAAGATAAAAGATACATAATCTGCTGTCAATGGAGGCTTAGCAGTAGCAGTTTCATCAGTAAATGTAGATTCTACATTGGCGCAGATCACATCAAGAACATTTCATATGAAGAGATGAAAAAGAGAAGGTTCCATCTCTCTCTCTCTCTCTCTCTCTCTCATTATTTCGAGTGATTTAAAAAAGTTCTTGTACAAGTCTACACAGTTCAAGCAGCTGCTTCATCAGCAGATGAGACCTTTTGGAGGACAAGAACAGGATCTCCCACTTTAAGTGTTTTCTCATTTCCTGCTATATGATAATCTTTCCACACCATATGCTGCCCAACGTAGACCTGCGCAAACAGTTCATACATGTTATTTGATCCATTCAGCCGAAGATTAATTGATTCAAAGCTCAATGGCTGCATTTCTCACCCTATTCTGCTGTTTTCCATTTGGCCTTAGGACTTTATCTGACCTATGATTCTTTAGAGTTTCGGTTGGTTCATTTCCTGCAATCCCAGTCTCTTGATCGATTGTAGGTACCTAAACATCACAAGCAAAAATCAGTCAAAATATCTCATCAACGGCATTCCAAGAAGAATTACTACCTTATCTATGAAATACATACGAAGTTAACAAGGATGAAGGTACCTTAAAAATTAACAATAGAGTAAGATTATAACAGAGAATCCCATGGTCTCCAACACTATGTATTACAAAATATAATCAAAGCTAATCTTGTTAGCAGAAATCATGCGATAATGGTCCCACGAATCATACTGACTACATGATTAGTAGAAAATAACAGTCCTTCACCTTGCAACGGGAACACAGCCTCACACCCTGAAATGAAAATTTGCCTATCTTGATCTCTGTCCATAAGTCCTCAGAAAATGGTTCACAACCTTCAACAAGGATACTGCATCATGCAATCGTCAGGTATAAATAATCAGAGGTAAAACTCCACTTAGATATAAACCCAAGACACTAAGGTCTAAAATAGTAGCTAAAGTTAAAATAGAGAAAATGTATGTATAACTGTAGGAGATAACCAACATGCAAGAGTGGAGTAATACTTAGGCCTAAATCGATTAACAGGTATGGGCTCCTTGAGAAGCTTGTTGAGTGCATCCATTGACTCCTGAAACGGATTAATGGTAAATATGGAACAAAGATCATAAATTTTTTTTTTTTTTAAAAGGTGGCCTTTGATGTCACTTTCTCAACTTGACTAACCTGAGATAACAACAAGAATGGGAAGCGGTCAGAGAACATGATATTGTGCCCGTTGGCATAGTCAGGATCCACAGCTCTAGCTTCTGACTCTGCATTTGGCAACAACGCAAACAAAATGTTCAAGATAATCATTAAGGCTTTTAATACTACATAGAAGGTAATATATCCTTGTCCTTATAAATATAATTGATAATTTGCGTTAGTTTTTTCAATATCCGATTCATTATTTTGCATGTTTAAAGGCCCACCAGTATTGAAGCGGACCAGTCGACTGGGTTTTCCTAGGTAATCTGAGAACCATTTTGATGCTTCATCTCCCTCATCCAGTGCAGAGCCAGACCATTCCCATACCGAGACACCATCTGCTACTCCTTGTGGTCTACTCAGACAAATCTTGAGAGCTTCCATACCAGGAGCTTTTATCACTGTAACACCAAGAGAGAGTTATCTTCTGTTCACGGACTATATGGAAGAAAAAGAAGAAGAAAAGGTGATCTTAAATTGCACACTTAAGCAAAGGAACACTAGCATAACACTTGCAATTCTTTGCAAGGAAGCATTTGTCAAATGAAAATTGGATCGGATTGGAGTTTACATTTGTACTTCCAAAATTATAAAAAGAATAATATTTGTTGTCCATTACCCCACAAAAAGCAATTA